AAAACAGATCCTGTCAAACTAACTAACTTGATATCATTTATTTATAAGATTACAAGTTTGGTTGATAAATGTAATAGTGTTGATGTAACAGACTTCTGTAAGCATTTGACTTGGTACCACATGACATTTTGATTAAAAAACTGGAAAAATATAAAATTAAACTGGTGCACGTTAAATGGAGTAAAAGCTGGCTAACTGATAGGTCTCAAAACGTAATTGTAAATGGGGAAACATCGCTGAACGGATGTGTTTCTAGTGGAGTTCCACAGGTATTAGTTCTTGGCCCTATGCTATTTAACATTTTTATTAATGACTTGGAAGAAAACATAAAATAATCACTGATAAAGTTTTCAGACAGCACAAAAATTGGCGGAATGGAAAATAATGAAGGGAATAATGAAGGTCACTGATAGAGAGTGGTCTGGATCACTTAGTAAGCTGGGTGCAAGCAAACAGTATGTGTTTTAATATGGCTGAATGTAAATGTATACATCTAATAACAAAGAATGTAGGCCATACTTATAGGATGGGTGACTCTATCCTGGGAAGCAGTGACTCTGAAAAAGATTTGGGGGTGGGGTGGATAATCAGCTGAACGTGAGCTCCCAGTGCAATGCTGTGGCCAAAAAGAGCTAATGCGATCCTGGGGATGTATAAAAAGGGGACAAATTGGAGAGAGTCCAGCGGAGGGCAATGAAAATGATTAGGGCTGGAGCACATGACTTATGAGGAGAGGCTGAGGCAACTGGGGTTATTTAGTCTGCAGAAGAGAAGAGTGAGGGGGGATTTGATAGCAACCTTCAACTACCTGAAGGGGGGTTCCGAAGAGGATGGAGCTAAGCTGTTCTCAGTGGTGGCAGATGACAGAACAAGGAGTAATGGTCTCAAGTTGCAGTGGGGGAGGTCTAGGTTGGCTATTAGGAAAAACTATTTCACTAGGAGGGCAGTGAAGCACTGGAATGGGTTACCTGAGGAGGTGGTGGAATCTCCATCCTTAGAGGTTTTTAAGGCCCGGCTTGACAAAGACCTGGCTGGGATGATTTAGTTGGGGTTGGTCCTACTTTGAGCAGGGGGTTGGACTAGATGATCTCCTGAGGTCTTGTCCAACCCTCATCTTCTATGATTCTTCTATGGATCTCGAGTAGGGGTAGAGAGGTTGTTATACTTCTGTATTTGGCACAGGTGCTACTGCTGTTGGAATACTGTGTCCTGTTCTGGTGTCCACAATTCAAGAAGGATGCTGATAAATTGGAGACGGTTCAGAGAAGTGCCACTTGAATGATATTAGAAAACATCCCGTATAGTGATAGACTTAAGGAGCTCAATTTATTTAACTTAACAAAGATAAGATTAATGGATGACTTGATCACAATCTATACGTATCTACTTGGGATACAAATATTTAATTAAAAACCGTGAGGAGTTCTTGTGGCACCTTAGCGACTAACAAATTTATTCATCAGATGCATGGAGTGAAAAAAACAATAAGCAGAATATATATTATAGTACATGAAAAGATGGGAGTTGCCTTACCAAGTGGGGGGCCAGTGCTAACGAGCCAATTCAGTTAAGGTGGAAGTGGCCTATTCTCAACAGTTGACAAGAAGGGGTGAATAACAAGGGAGGGGAAATTATTTTTGTAGTGCTAACAAGGCCAATGCAATCAAGGTGGCCCATTTCCAACCGTTGACAAGAAGGTGTGAATATCAGCAGAGGGAAAATTACTTTTTGTATATTTAATAATAAGCTCTTCAATCTAGCAGACACAGGTATAATATGCTCCAATGCCTGGATGTTTTAGCTAGACAAATTCAGACTGGAAATAAGGCATAAATCTTTAACATTAACCATGGGAACAATTTACCAAAGGTTGTAGTAGGGTCTCCATCACTGGCAATCTTTAAACCAAGATTGGATTTTTTTTTTTTAAAGCTATGCTATAGGAATTATTGTCCTATTTCATACTGGTGTCGTGGAAAAAGTCACCCACGCATTGATTTTAGTTCACAGACTCAAGCCTGAGGCCAGTTTATTGCAATACATACCAACGCGTTGGGGGTTGCAGTTGGAAACTACACCCCTGAGCAGAGCTCGCAGGCTCCTTTTTATTCTTACAAACCGCAAACATATTACAAGTTACACGTCATTTACGAAAAATAAAGAGTTAGGGTTTGCTCCCTTTCCCGGCACCTTTCTTATTATTTTCCGAGAATTGGGTGCATATTAGGTGGAGGGCTTTTGGTGGTTTCCGATTCTGGTCAGGACTTGGCATTCATTCGGGGTATATTCTCGGCAGGGTGTATAGTACCTTCCGGGGTGTTACGGTCAGTGTACCGGGGAAGGGTTGACAGGACGCTCAAAGAAGGTATCTAATTGGCTAGTTTTGCATTTAGCTGGAATTACAGGGTGCTCACAGGAGAAGTTTGCATTTAGCTAGAAATTCGGGGGGGGGGCGTTACAGAGCACCCAAAGGAGAAGCTGCATTTAGTCAGTTTGCATTCAGCTAAAGTTACCTATTGCTTCACACAAGCGGTTATTATATTTCATCAGCCATGAACATATTTCATTAGTGCTGCTGCTGGGGCTTTTTATTCTTTCCCTCCTTGCCCCCCCCCACCCCCCCGGTCATGACCCTTGACCGAGTTTGGCAGGAGGCTGGGTCACTTAGCTAGGGTTACCATATTTCCACAATCAAAAAAGAGGACACTGGGGGGGGGGGAGCCCCGCCCTAGCCCCGCCCCCATCCACTCCCTCCCACTTCCCACCCCCTGACTGCCCCCCTCAGAACCCCAACCCCCCCCTGCTTCTTGTCCCCTGACTGCCCCAACCCTTATCCACTCGCATGGGTGGCAGGGTTGTAGAAATTTTGGTGGTGCCCAGAACCCCCCCCCCCACCTGCCTAAGGCTCTGGGAGGGGGGATGGGTGGGGGGAGGAGGTCTGGGGTGCGGGTCCTGGGCTGGGGATTAGGGTGCAGGAGGGGTGCAGGGTGCAGGTTCTGGGATAGAGTTTGGGTGCTGGGTGCAGGCTCCGGGCTGGGGCAGGGGGTGGGTGTGCAGGAGGGGGTGAGGGGTGCAGGCTCTGGGATGGAGTTTGGGGGTGGGAGGCGGTGCAAAGGGAGGGGGTGCAGCCTTTGGGAGGGAGTTTGAGGGCAGGAGGGGGTGTGTGGGAAGGGGGGAGGGAGTTTGGGGATAGGAGGGGATGCAGGGGTGAGGGCTGTGGGTCTGAGGATGAGGGGTTCATGATGCAGGAGGGGGCTCAGGGATGGAGCAGAGGATTAGGGTGTGGGGGATGAGGGCTGGGGCTGAGGGGTTTGGGGCGTTGGAGAGGCTCAGGGCTAGGGTGGAAGGGCAGGGTAAGGGCAGCCTGTCTTCCCATTAGTAGATGGGGAACACTAGGACCTGGGGGCAGCAGACAAGGGAGAGGCAGGCGGGGGGGAGGTCCACGGGGGGGGGGACGCAAGGAGGGGGGTGGCAGGTGGAGGCCGGGGACCCATCCAACACTCCCCCGCTCCCTGACTGCTCCCCCCCCTTACCATTCTGGCTCCATGTGTTTGCAAAATACTCTGCCCGGTGGGTCGGGGTTTGTGTGTTACACAGGGCAGCAGACAGAGGGAGGGGGGAGCAGGGGAGGGCTCTGGCTGCTGGAGGCCAATGGGAGTGGGTGAATCGGCCCAGCCGCCCAATCAGCAGCCGCACTCTGCATGGAAGGGAGGGAGGGAGGCGAGGGAGAAAAAACCCCCGGACATTTTAACCTTGTAACCAATTCCTCCCGGACGGCTATTTAGAGACGCAAAAGCCGGACATGTCCGGGGAAATACGGACGGATGGTAACCCTAACTTAGCCTAGTTCAGGCTTGTGGCCTGCAGGGCGGGCCTATATGATGAGTCTTCGCCGATGTTCTGATCGGTGCAAGGGAGGCCAGCAAGGCCTATTCCCCCACACTGGGCAAGTCACTTAAATCAAACTTTTCCCAGGTGGTCACTGATTGTGTGTTCCTCATTTTCTAGGTGCCCAGTGTGAGATCCTGGGGTCTGATTTGCAGAAGGGCTAAAATCTATAAGAGCTGTGCTTTGAACATATGAACTGCTATATAATGCTAAGAGTCTCAAATTGGGCTGCCAAAATTAATGGACAATTCTGACAATTCTCTTTGTGCCTCAGTTCCCAGTATCTAAAATGGGGCTAATATCACCCCACAACCTCACAGGGGTGTCATGAAGATAAATTGATTAAAGTCTGTGAAGCACTCAGGTACTGTAGTGAAGAGCACCATAGAAAAGCCCCTGAAGAAATTAATAATTTTGAATTCAGAACAGTGTTTGAGTAGTGTGCAGTAAATAAGCCCTGGGGCCACACACTGAACAACACAGAAAAAACAAAACATTAACTGAGCACTGTCCGTCCTGTGTACTGAAAGAGGCAAGGGTCCTGTGGAAAAAATAATATGTAATTAAATAATTATGCATATGCGCTAGGAGGCTGAACTAAGGCTGCACAGGCAACCTTAATTCTAGCATTTCCTCACTTTCAAGTGCTTGACTTTACAACTTTAACAATGTTCTTTTAAAATAGTTTTCTGTGTGTAATAGTAGACAGAGACACAGGAGTAGTGGGGTTGAAATGAGGGGACAGAACTATGCACATGTGGAGTAGTTAGAGACAGTGCTTAATTTGTAATGAAAGGTGCCAGGGCTCAAGCAATGTTTATACTTTAATAACTGACGCAGCAACCCCACAGTTGCTGGGGATATGAACTGTCAAGCTTAGAGGTGCCGGAGTTCAACCCTAGCAAGCCCTGGATCAAATTAAGAACTGTTGGAGAGCAGCTTTGCCACATGCGGGCAAACTTACCAGACAATGCAAGAGGTTGTAGGGATCAGACAGCTGGGGGTGATGGCTAAGGGGTTGAGACAGATTATGGATCACAGATTGGGGTGACAGAACTGCTTTTCCCATTCCTGGAAGAGCTCATTTTCTTGTGTGCTTGGCTCTCTTCTAGTAACCCGACTGCTCCCTTCTAGCAACACTGCAGGCTCCATGGAGAAGGGGAAAGGCAGCAAGGCAGATGCTCAGCGTTACAGCCCGGTATGTGCCAGGCCTCCATGTGCTTCCATCCTCACCAACACCCAGATGATGATGGGGCAGGGAGGAGATGGGCTTGGTGCAGGGGGCTTTGTATGCTCAGGATGCCAGGATGCATGGGGACAATGCTTCAGGGAAGGTTTAAGAACTGCCATTTCCTTGTTCTACAGGCCTCCATTTTGTGTTGTGTGTGATGTCATCGCTGGAGGGGTGTCACGGTGCATGCTGGGTAATGCACAGGTAACTGACACACTAGGAGCCTTCATGCCCCTGGATGGAGGGTTGGAAGCAGGTGTCTGAACTGTGAAGGATGAGAAGGGGCCTTTTCCCCATCCCCACCCCTCCATGAGGCAGATTCACAGTGAAGCAACATCCTAGTGGTTCCCACCCCTTCCATGGCCAACTCCCTGTGCCCCTACACATCTAGCTGAGCCCCCTTTTCTGGGAACTTCTTTGCACCCTACTCAACAACATAACCTTCCCCAGCCACCTCTCCCTGCCTCATCGGACTCTGGCGCCTTCTTAGCGCTGTCCCCTTTCCCCCCAAAGGCTCTTTAAGTTTCCCACTTTGCTCAGACATGCCCCGTGGTTCCCAGGGTTTTCTTATTTTGCTGAACCATCTCTTGCTCACCGGCTAGTTTTGTGTCTGTTTCCATGTCTGTCCGTTGGTGGAATGTGCTTCTCTGTGGCAGTGTTACAGCTTATTCAGATAGGCATAATGTGACTATGAGCTACTAGACAAAGTTATAATGGGGTGAGTGGTGGCAGGGCTAGAGGGAGCACTCTGAGCAGCAGGGTCTCTAGGGGTTCTGAGATGCAGTGGGAGCAGTTTCTCTGGTTTTGTTAATGTCTTGGTGAGTGAGTTATCCAGGTGACAAACTTCCTCTCTCTGACCTGACAGCGAAGTAGCACAGTGCCCCATGGGTGATGTGGATGTCAGACTGTGACACACTCCCCCCAGGGACTGCAGACTTAGCAATAGAACCATGGGGGAGATGGGGCGGCAGAGGAAACACCCATAAGGAAGGAAGTACAGTGCATTTAGAACAAATACCTGATTTTCAGTTTGCTGGCCCTTCTGAAAAGTCAGAAAAAAAATTGTTTCGTGTTCAACAAACCATTTTATCTGGCTTTTGAGTTTTTTTAATGTTTGTCAATTTTTAAAAATAAAGTTGAAGTATACGTCAGCACAAAGTCATTTAGAATTGAAATATCTAAATATTTCATTTTGAAAATGTCTAAACGAAACATTACTTAGACAAAGATCTTTAGGGCAGGGATCAGCTCTGGGGTGGAGGGAGGTGGTCAGGTTGAGGAGTAGACAGAGCAAGTGAGGCCAGATGGTCCCTTCAGAAGAGTGGTAGCTATAAGATTTGGGTGAGGGGAACTTGCTTTTACTGTGTGTCTGGTTGTCTCTCTCTCAGGATTTGCTGCTGAAGTGAAGGGCCTGGCTACTCCTTACCTTAGAGATTCAGAGGAGAAAAGCTGGATTCCCAAGACTGCTGGCCCTTCTGCTTCCTCCAGTGATGGTTGTGTCAAAAGCAACCAGAAAACCACCACGAAACCAAATGTGGCATTAATTCATCCAAGTATATCATTCCAGCTCAGCCACCTCTGGGGCCAGGAACAAGCTATTCCACTAGGGGATTTCCATCCACCAGTGGAGGAGAGAGCGTGAAAAGGGAGCACTTTCAGTTTGTTTTTATTCCTGGTATAAAACTTTCCCCATTGAGTCCAGTGCAGAAGGGTTCAGATAGCCTGTTCATGGTCTTCTCTTCTTGGGAAGGCAGCACTTAAGAGTCCATTCTTGAGGAGGCAGAGAAATCCAGTTCACGATTGCTGCCCCATGAATTGACATGGAATTTGCCATTGACCTCCAAGGTCATTACTGTAACCCTGTCATTAAAGAGAGGCCCAGGCCCTGAACCCATTGAGGGCTATGCCTGTCCCCTCAGAATGTGTGTACATGAAGGTCTCTCCTTCCCCCATCTTTCATCACACTGCAAACTTAGTGTAGGAAACACTGTCTTTTTACAGTAACTGATGAGTTCCCCAGCCTTGTCCTTGAGGATTTCATTTTCCCTCTGTATCGTCTCCCTTTTCTCTCTCTGCCCTCCGCTCTCTGTACCTTGCAGTAGAAGGATGTGTAAATGTGAATCTCTGACCCTCGCTCCATGCTTGTGGTGTCTGTGTGGCATCTTGGCTTGCAATAAAAGGAGATTGTGACCAACTGACCCTGGGCGCTGTGAGGCTGTTGCGCTCATCTTCACGCTACAGTCCTCTAGAAATGCTCATGATGCTAGGCCAGTGTTTATTTTGTTGTCATTGCAGGGGCGGGGGGGGGGGGGGGAAGACAGGTGTGAAAGGAGGAGAGAACGAGAGCTTGCTCTACCCACGGAAGGTGACTTCTCACAGTGCTAGTCCCCAATTCCAAAGCAACAGTCTTTCCCCAACCCTGGTATGTGTCCCGTCCCCCAGATTGCCCAGGAGATTTTTCATCAGTCACCCAGGCTGTTCTGGCTCCCAGCCAAGTCACACTCATGCCAGGGAGAACTGTCTCCTAGCCCAAACATGTTCAGCCAAGGAGGTGGTGACTCCTAGAGTTGAGATACTTAACATATCTCCCTAACCAAGCTGCTAGGAGTTCTCTCTGCCAGCCAAGACACTAGCACAGCTCTTACTTCAGCACAAGCACAGCCCCACCCATCAAGGCTTCTTCCAGCTTAGCCCCTACTGGGGGTGACTGTGTTACCTGGGAAAGTAATAGAAATAATCATGTCAGTCTTCAGTCCCTGCTTTTCTCTCCCCCTCACACACAGAGGTACAACATGGGACAAAAAGAACAGGAGTACTTGTGGCACCTTAGAGACTAACAAATTTATTAGAGCATAAGCTTTCGTGGGCTACAACCCACTTCTTCGGATGCATACAAGTGGGTTGTAGCCCACGAAAGCTTATGCTCTAATAAATTTGTTAGTCTCTAAGGTGCCACAAGTACTCCTGTTCTTTTTGCGGATACGGACTAACACGGCTGCTACTCTGAAACATGGGACAATAGGCTAGCTTTGTGTTTGTTTATACCAGCTACTGGGGTACTGTTCAGGCAGAATTCCAAGTTAAATGGCCCAAGAGTCTGACCTGATATGGCAGACAGACAAGTCACTGTGCCACTTGAGATATTGGTCTGTTCTGATATAGAGACCTAGATATTGCTGTATTTGTTTCTTAATTTGTGAGGCTCCTACTTATTTTGTGCATTGTACGGGCACCTAACTCGGGACTGAGAATTCCACTAGGCTGCAGGGATCTAGCTCAAATGTCATTTTTCAGAGTAGAATAAATTGCACTTTGGAGGGGGGGCGGGAAATAATCAGCCAGTGTGTCCCCACAATGCAAAATGTCCAGGCTAACAGTCAGATGAAATTTATTCCAAGTGCAGGATTCAGATAATATGAGAGAGAGAATTACATTATACGACAACCAAAGAGGCATTCAAAGTGCAGGGCAATGCAGGGATAATGAGGGGACTGGCAATATGGGCTGAGCTGCAAGGCACTGACACAGACAGGACTCAGACCCTGCTCTGAGCTCTCAGCCTGAAAACAATTTCCTGTAGCCAGGTCAGGAGTTTTTGCATATATAAAAAACTTACAGCTGTAGTTCCCTTAGCAGTTCCCACTGATCACCAAATACTGCCCACTTTGGGTAGATTGAGACAAAAAACCTGACAAGCATTTACACTTCACAGGGTGAAACAAATTCAGTCACTCTCAGCAGCGCGCTTCCAGACTGCAGACCACAAGTGAGACAAGATTTCAATCACCCTTATCAGCCAGCCAGAGCTCTGCCATTGCCCATGACCCTGTATTAACATTTCACTCACCAAAGTGTCACCACGTCCCCATCCTGCCTGGAAAAAAATCTATCTGTATTGTGAAAAAAGTGAAAAATCAGTCTCAGTCTATCACGGGGACTGGAGTAGAACTGGAGTCCTGACAGAGGATTCCAGGGGAACATCACTGCTCTCCTCCCAGCCCCTCTGGGACCCTAGATGCCACTTCTCAGGCGTGGACGTTACTGCTTCATTCAAATTTTAGTCACTTATTTTCTTCTTGTTTCATATTGCAGCTGAATTTCTCACATCCTGGGTTTTGAAGCTACAGGAACTGGTCCCAGCCATTTCTCTCCTGTAAGAAAAGCTAACAAATTAAATCCTGATACTGGGGGTGGGTTGCAGGGTAAGGTTGCCCTTCCCCCTCATGGAATGGGTAATTGTGCTGAAATGGGAATATAATTAATGGGACAGAGCTTTTCACATCTAGGCTACTGGACTCTGCTAGCTGAGATGTACTGCCCAGCACCAAAGATTAGCTTGAATTTTAAAATCTGCTCACAGATCTGGGGGTTAAGGATGAGCTATGGAGCCTGTAATCAAGCCTAGCATCCCTTAGCCAGTTTCCTCACAGGGCTAGGTCAAAAAGGGATCATGAACTCATTTCCCATGACTGACAGGCCACTCCCCAAACACTGCCAAATCTGAGGTTGAAATTCAGTTTCCTTTTTTCTGGCTCATCCAACAGTGGGTAATGCTGTTTTTAACAGTCACCACAACCTAAGCCAGTACTCTTAATTAAAATCAAAGTTATTTTAGAACAAAAATTTAAAAAGAAATCACAAAACTATAAGCTAAGCAGAATACACATCCAGCTGGACTGTCTGCTATGGAAATGTAACTAGAACCCCTCTCAGCTTAGTTATAGTAGGATTATGAAGTCCTGGTAGTAGTAGGTCTCCATTGTAATCCTGAATTTGTTCTCTTTCTCCTTGCTAAAATCCATAAACAAGTTTTAGGCTGATTTCCCTTTACTAGGGTAGGTCTAGGATTGAGGTATATTTTTCTGTCAGATTTGAAATGAGTTGGACAGCTATTACACCCAATAAATACAGGGTCTCTCCTGAGCTCAATTTTTTCCCCACTTCATACCAAAAAATAAACTTTGCTTGACTTAGTTAGTTGCAATTTACTGTCCAGCACCTACAATTAGTTTTCAAAATTCCGCATTAATCAGCTACAGTAGTGTGAGAATGGCACCTCTGAGATTCCAACAGTCTTAAAACAGGAAATCAGGTGACTGGGAAGGCTTCCATTTATTTATTTATTTATTTTTAATAAAAGGCTGGATCTTTAGCTGGGGATTTACCCCATAGTGTGTAGCTGCACCATTTACAGCAGCTGAGCATCTGGTTGTCAGTCTCCAGACATTCTGCCAGCAGAGAGAGAGCTCAACATGTAACCTCATCACTGGGGAGGGGGCTGGCGAGGGGAAAAGGAGCATTTGCCACCAAAGTGGAGTTAATCAGACAAGCATGCCTTCTTTTACAGTGGTAACTAAGGAGGATGTTACACAACTTCTACTAATGTGAAATGTAAAATCAGCTGATCTGGATGATTTGCAACCAAGAGTTTTATAAGAGCTTATCAAGGCGCTCTTTGGTCCACTGACGTTAATTTTTAAGAATCCTAGGAAAACTAGAAAGGGACAGAAGTGGAAGAAAGCCACTGTCAGACCAATACTTAAATGGGGTAAATAGGATGACCTGGATAATTAAGGGCTACTCAGCCTAACAAAGCCCAGGCAAAAATAATGGAGCATCCTGTCAAACAAATTTTATATAATTCTTTGAAATGATTTCAAGTCTGGTAGATAAAGGTAACTCTGTGGAGACGCAAGACATTTGAATTAATACCGCCTGATATTCTGATTCAAACATGAGTGCTATTCAAAATCAATATGGCTCAATGGGTTAAAAGCTAGGTAACTGACAGGTTTCAACATGTAGTTACTAACTGAGACTTAAGTACTTGGGGTGCCTTCACTGGGCTCCTTCAGGGATCAGTTCTTGGTCTAATACAATTTAATATTTTGATCAATGATCTGGAAGAAAGTGTAAAATAATTGGTAATGTGCAGATGATACAAAGATATAGCTCTCCCTTCCACTGGCCCAAAAGGGAAGGAGAGTCTGAGTCTTTGAGTATGTCTACACTGCAATTAGACATTCACGGATGACCTATGCCACCTGACGAGGGCTCAGGTTAAGCACTGTTTAATTGTGGTGCAGACATTTGGGCTTGGGCTTAGGCTACAGCCCAAGGTCTGGGACCTCCCCCTTTGCAGGTTCCTAGAGCCTGGGCTCCAGTCCGAGCCCGAATGTCTACACTGTAATTAAACAGCCCCTTAGCCTGAGCCAGCTGGCACATGCCAGCCACGGGTTTTTAACTGTAGTGTAGATATACCCCCAGAGTGTTAATTTGTTTGTCACATTACACATCCCATTAGAGCAGATGGATAATTACCAGGGAGAAAAAATAGAAGGAAACCTTACTAGAAACACTCACCTATAACATTGCTCAGTAGCTCTAAACGATCAGAGCCAAAGAAGAGGTGAGCTTCACCATTAACATGGGCCACAACTGCTGGCATTCCAAATGCCTAATGCCCCCAGGGAGACAAAACAGGGAGAGTCACAAAGAGATGAATAAGCACAAGACCAGTTCTAAGAGAAACTTTTACAAAGAACAACTGTATCACTTTTCTTCCTCCCTCGCACTCTCACTTTCTTTTTCCCTTTACCTTTTCTTCTTTCTCTATCTCAAATCTGGGTCCCATGCACCAAGCCTGGATTCTGCAGAACTCTTATGACCCTGTCATCCCATGGGACTGAGCGAAAAGGAATCAGAATCGAACCAGGGCTTCACGCATGGTAGTGGAGAGCCGTGACCCCAGGCACTAGCTCTGGTCTCTGGCACACCGGTCCCCTGACACCTCCCTTGGAATGTGCCAGGAATCAAACCTGGGTTTCCCAAAAGATAGTTTCCTGCACTAATACTCAGGGTATTGAGCTGGCTTGCAAGATGTGTTTAAAATACAAAAAAGTCTGAGAGCAATGGGATCCTTGTGTATACTGATCTACCCTTTCATCCTGCCTTGACCCACAATATCACTGCTGGGAAAGGAACACACAGATCTAACCCCACGTGGCAATGGGAGCATCTCACCCCATATTTCAGTGCCTCCTCTGTTGTCTCCTTCAGACGATTCTTCACCTCAGGGGTCAAGGTCATTGCCAGTAGCTTCTGGGCCAACGCTGAGGGTAGCCCAGCCTCCTCAGCAGCCTGAGGAGACAGACAGACAGAAAATAAGAACAGCCACTGTTATCATGATAGTTACATAATAATTACATGCAGCTTCATTGCTTGAAGGTCTGTTGTCAAACGATAACAAAATACTCCTTCTAGGACATTTCTCTGGCAGGACAGTCTGGCCTACTTTCTCCCATTGCCTGGTTATATCACCTATTCTGAGTGACTTCTGAATATGAAGCTGAAGGGATATCACCTCCCAGGCTCAAAATATGCAGCTCTTGTTAGGTGGGCTTTCAATTAGCTAGCAAAAGGGGGAAAGGGAGTTTATGCTTAGTTCAAGTTAACTCTTTCAACGTATGAACTAAGACAGATGAAGTGCTGTAGTGGAAAAGAAGATGAAGAGTATTAATGTATTAAAGTGTCTAAACAGTATTGGAAGGAGCCTGCCAAACACAGCAATAGAGGAACAAGGAGTGACACTGCATGACAGAGACCAAACTCAGTAAGCCTAACTGGAAGTTGGTGGGTGATCTTCAGAACTGGAATGTTGGTACAGAAGGGCAGCGCGTGTTCTACTTCATTGGAGATAAAAAGAGGCTCTTCATCCCTTGTTGAACTTCTCAACCTTCAAATCTGCCACTGTGTGATGCCAACAATCAAAATGTGAGACATAGGGCCCA